TCCCTTCCTGGCTGCTTGGTCCTGCAGCATGTCCTCCTGTGCCCACAGGAGAACTTGGCTCCAACCATCTGACATGCTGCTGTTGCTCCCACAGCCTCCCAGTACTCTCCATGGGAGAAACCCCTTTGGTTTGACCATCCTGGTAAGAGGAGGCACAGATGGCACTTGGGTTTGTTGCGTCCCACCTCCCTCACACAGACACAATTGTTGATGCAATGAGGGTCTAGTCCTCCCAAAACCAAACAGATAGATCCCTGCCTGATATAAACCAGTATTGCCTTCAATTGAGAAGCTCAGAAGGTTCTGGAGGAGGTCAAACATCACTCAGGTCTACTTGGGCGTACTCCTACTGACACTCACAATGCATTTGTTGAAGGTACTCTTGGCCAGGAGCAGCACGTTGCCCAGGATGGTGTTAAGGAAGGACGAGGGGAGAGCTGAGGAAGAGCCCCACATCTCAAAGATGGAATCACTCAAGGTCAGCAGGACCTGCACGCAGCCAAATGGGTGGACCTTGCTGCAGACATCTAGAAATCCTCTCAGCTCCGGTTCCAGGCAACTGAAGATCTCACTCAGCAGCTGACTGGTAGGTTCTTCCAGTCTTAAAAAAATAAGAAAATGTAAGCAATTAAACAGGGAGGGTCACTGGCCCTGTGGCTGGCTGCAGAGGGGAGGGCAAAGCTAAAGGAAGAATTGAAGCCTCCCATGTCAGAGTGGAGCCTGTTTATGCTTGGGTCATCCTTCAGCTCTGCACCATCTCTGTTTGTGGGAGGAGGTTAAAACATCCTGGTTTTCCAGCCAGATGAAAAAATGTCAGTGTTTTTATTCTGACATTTCTAATCAGATTTCTGTTCCATAGCACGTTTGCACTTCATGACATTGCTAATAAGGAAATAAAACCCATCAAACCAGGGTTCTCCATGAAACAAACCTTGCGGTCTGGTCCACCCTGAAGCAGGGACACTCTGTTGGGGAGAGGCTCTGCTCAGCCTCTCTGCACGATGCCTCCTGTTTTTTTGCTGTCTGGGGATCAAACCTGAGACCACTTAGCTGACATCAGGATGGTCAAGAGAGGAAAAAAAAAAATAAATATCCCTCCATCAGCTCCTGGGGGGACCGTGCCCCTGTCAGAGCAGCCAGCTCTGTCTCATCACCCACGTACTGGCTCCGAGGCTTGGTGCACGGAGGGTCCTCTGGAGATGCCACGTTCTCTCCTCCCTTAGTGGCAGATGCCTGAAAGACAGAATGGGATGGAAATGATGATTTGTTTGCCCTCCAGAGAGGGAGACTTGAGATCTGGGTTTCATTTCTGCTGCCTCATGTTGAAGTCCTGTGTTTGATGCTTAGACATCCCAAGATTTTCCTGGATCTATCAATTAAGTTCAATTCAATTCTCCTCTGTCATCAGGAGCTCTTCAGCTTCCCCACTACTGCAACCGCTGATGGTTGCTGGAGGACAAGAGCCCAGGAGAGCTTGGGTGTCTGATAGAGGCGAGTGACCACCCCGCTGTGCCTGCTGAGGCTCGTACCAAGCTGGAAGGATGACTGGAGAGGACACAGTCCTCACACTTACCTCCAGCACCGGCAGGTCTGCAGCATCCTGGCTCAGCTGGAAGAATTTCTCGATGAACTGCTGCTCCGTGGTGCAAAGGGGTTGCAGCTCTCTCAGCACCTGCTCCAACATCTGCTGGGAAACCATCAGGCATGTTAGAAAACCCTTCTAGCACACCAGGGTAGATGTCCATGTCCACCTGAAGTGACATCTAAGCCAGGTCAGCAGCACGGAACATCTCTGCTTCTGCTCCAGGCAGGCAGCACTAGGGAAAGGACAGTGGGATGGGCTCCAGCACCAGCACAGCCCCCATGGTACACAGGAACCCTTTAGGGAACGTCAGCTCTGTACCTTGCTGACGCTGCCTTTGGCCGGTATGTCCTCCTGGCCTTCTCTGCTCCCGGGGAGGCTCCAGCGAGGCTGCTGCCTGCTCCCCAGCGGCTTCTCCAAGCTTTCCTGAAGACCTGCGTGGTGTGTTGGTACATGGTCAGACATCCCCATCCCTCTTGGCTTCTCCAGCTCTTTTGATCATTTTAACAGCGGTACGTGGTCAGACATCCCCATCCCTCTTGCCTTCTCCAGCTCTTTTGATCATTTTAACAGATTTAAATGTCTCCTCTCACATCTTGTCTTATGTGTGAGTTGGCCTTTTCCTCTGATTTTTTTTATCTGCCTTCTCATCTGTTTCTCTCTTTTTCACTCTTTTTATTTCATGGTCTGTGATGCTTACTGCTTTGATATTTAGTGCTTAGTACTAAATCTTGAGGACTGGGGAGTGAAAAATCCTAGGTGATAAGAGCAT